TGAAGACTAATTTCTTAAACTGCTTTTCGTGTTTAGTTTCGTTGTCCTTCCCCCGCACCTCCGATTGGCACGCTTGGCTACGTTCGGTGCGAACGAAAGCTCAGCATACATTTATAGGGATTTTCAGGGGTGTTTCGAGTGCAAATCACCTGGAATGCGCCCGATCTCGTCAGATTTCAGAAGCCAAGCGGGATTTCGATCTCCGCGCGGTGCTTGAATGGTGCGACCGTCGGGTGAGCCAGGCAGTTGTGGAGCTGTGCTACACAGCGGCCATCGGAGGGCAGTGCGGCAAAATCCATTGTTGCGCAGTATTCCTATGTATCCCACATCCCTACCCCCCCCGCCGCCCACCACCTTCACTGACCCGCACTGAGCAGCGTGGTGAAGTAACGGTGAAACAATCCCGACGATCCGCACGGCGTTGGGAAGTCTGCCATCCAGCAGTGGATTGGGGAACAAAAGAGAACTGCGCATGTACAGACACGCAGGGGGTGCTCAGTTCGGCAGTCCCAGCGATAATTTATCTATACTCTTTGGTTCTATTCGGTAAAGTCACGTAGGTAAATAATAAAACAACAATAATCACGACGTTTCGGCCACAACACAAGCGGCCTTCATCAGGTGAAGGGACGAGCCTGTCTGGAGGACAGCGCTGGAGTGGAAGAAGCCACGCTTAGATCACGACATTTAAGCTGTGTGAGAAGAAGAAGAAGACCACGGGCTTTGACAAAGGAATTAGCATATAATTTAGCATTGAAATGGCTCATTGAAATAGCTAAGTTAAAGCATACACATCCGCAGAGGTGCCCCTTGACAAAGGAATTAGCATAGAATTTAGCATTTAAATAGCTTAGTGATTAGCTAGTAACTGGTCACAGAAATAGCTATGTTAAAGTCAGAGTGTATACATTCACCGAGGCACCTAGTGCTCATCAAACAGGAGAATTTAGCGAAACACAACCACGCTCAGACATCGGACCTGTGTGCGAGCAAAGAGGTGGTGTACGTGCCGGTGGACTTGCAGTTTGGCGAGGGGGGGAGGGGGAAAGGGGGGAGGGGGATTTTACCTATTGATGGTGTGAAAATGGGAATTTATAAGAGCTGCGAAAGTTTGGGGTACCACTACTCGGAAAATATACTGTACCATTGAAATTAGTTTAATGTTTAGTTCGATTTAGAACATCTTTCCAATGTTTGTAGATCTGAATTGCTTCATGAACAAATCTCTGATAAAAGCCCGTGGGTTTGCAAAGAACCTTGGTATCGGAAAAAATTATATCGTGATCCCCCACAGCGTTGTAACAGTGATCAGCTACGGCAGAAGAATTCGTTTTGCCGTGTTTCAAATCTGATTTGTGCTCGCGAATTCGGTCAGAGACATGTCGCTTTGTCTCACCGATGTAGCAATAACCGCAGGTACAACTCAATTTGTAAACCCCGGGGTACTGTAAATCAGGAATGACATCCTTCACGGATGGGATCAGATCACGAATTTTGTGTACTGTATTGAACCGGACCTGGATCTTGTGTTTGTTTAGAATTTTGGAAATCTTTTTAGTAACGCCTGCTATATATGGAAGTGTGATGGTTTTGACCGGAGTATCAAGTGGTTGCTTCTGTATGGAGGGAGAGACAGCTTGGCGGATGGTACGGTCAGAGTAACCATTCCTTTTGAGGGCCAGGTGTACATGTTTTAATTCACTGGTCAGGTGGTGTTGGTCCGAAATGCAATGAGCCCTATGGTATAAAGTTTTGATGAGAGAATTATTTTGGGCTGGGTGGTGGGAATCAGGTTTCAAGTAGGAATCTGTGTGGGTGGGTTTCCTGTAGACAGAATGCCCCAATGAGCCATCAGGTCTCCTCTCAAACAGAACGTCTAAGAATGGTAGCTTGCCATCTTTCTCCACTTCCATGGTGAATTTGATGGCGGGATGTCTGGAATTGATGTGGTGTAGGAAAAGGTTCAGAGCTGGGAGGCCATGTGGCCAAATGACGAAAGTGTCATCCACATATCTCTTCCACAGGGAAGGTCTGAGGGTGGAAGTCTGGATGGCGTCTGATTCAAATTTCTCCAAGAAAATATTGGCAATCACTGGTGACAAGGGGGAACCCATGGGGGTACCCTCATTTTGTTTGTAGAAGGAGCCATTCCAAGTAAAGTAGGTATTGTTGAGGCAGTGCCTAACCAGTGTGCAGGTGTGTCGGGGTCTAGTCCATGTTGGACCAAATTTTCAATTATTTCAATGGTATCAGGTACTGGGACCTTGGTGAACAAAGAGACCACATCGAAGCTGACAAGGATATCGTCAGGGGACAGTACAACGTCTTTGACCATAGAGACCAATTGGGCTGAGTTAAGTACTGCTGAGGTGGTCTTGCCAGTGAAAGGCAGCAAGGTATCTGACAGAAAACGGGCTAGTCTATAGGTACGGGAGTTGATCGTGGATACGATGGGTCGTAGTGGGGTGCCTTCTTTATGAATCTTGGGAAGACCATGTAAAGTCCGCTGTTGCTCGCAGCAAAGTTGGGGTCGAATTCAGCCGGGCCCCGTGCATCTTCTCAACTTTAATTCCCTGTCGTCGCTGATAAAGGCTACTAACCCTTGCGCTCAGATTATAACGTGTATATTTATGTTTTGTAAAAATCATCGCCGCATCCTTTCCCAGAGCTGCCGAGAATATCGCTTGGGCCAGGGTTTTATTTCAGCCGGGTTGGTCTGGGTCGGTGAACCGGAAACGTTTTGTCCGTATGCAGCTCACCACATCCAGTATATACTTTCGGATGCGCTTCAGCAACCATCTGGAACACTCTCTTCTGACATTAGGAAGCCACTGGAGCTATGCTCGATTGAAAACAAATTTCTTTAAATCTGCGTTTTGTGTTTGGTTTGTGCTCCTTCCCCCGCACCTCCGATTAGCACGGTTGGCTACGTACGGTGCAACAAAAGTTCAACATCTATACATACACCCAGTATACCGCAATGGTCCTGCCTCTAGGCCTACTCCAGTCGACCAGTGACTGAGCGGGCACGTTTCGTAATTAGCGCTGGCGGAGGAGAGTGAGGGAGAGGGGGGGCAGTGGGCGGGAGGGAGATGAAGCAAGAGCGACAGGAGATGGGGAGGGGGGTGGGGGTAGGGTCGTGACCCCATTGTGATTATTTCCGGCGCCCTAAGTGCACAACGACACTAGCTAACGAGACGAATATCCGTGAAGGCTCGTGGTCGCTGGAGGAGCTGTGGGGAGGGAGCGAAAGACAGACAGTGAGGTCATCGTCTATTTTTGGCATCGGGTCGGTCGTGAGCATTCATCTGCGAGTGATCGGCTCTCCGAATACGCGGTGTTAGTGGGGATAGATCGGTTGGGCATTCGTGGAATTTTCAGGTGTAATGAAAATGTCATATTTTTGTGGGTTCGGCCACGTTAATTATTTATTTATGCGTCTTCGGGCTCTCACTAATAACGTCACGACACCACACGATACCGTTTTTTCGGCAGGATAACGGCAGAAGTGGGGTCATGTGCGTGATGGCTCGTGTGGAGGAGGAGGCCGATTTAGAGTGACCTCAGAAGTAGTCGCGTAACGTCAACTTCCCTCGACATTCTCTGACACAGGGCGAGGCCCCCGCGTGTCATGGCGTGACGCTGATTACGCGGTTCGGAACACGAGTGGAAAACGTTCACAATTGGAATTATTTGGCCCGCATCGTTCGAGAATGTTTATCTCCATCCGTTTTTATTTTTTGGTGACCGCTGAGCCAGTGATGGACGTGCCACGTCCCCATTGGTGGGTCCCGGTCTCTCCAATCGGGATGCCCAATGTCGATTCTCCACGAAGTGGTTACTTAGTTGATCTCCTTCTGAATGCATGGTGGTGAGCCAGATTGAGCTCTAATCAAATACAATTTTGCTTGGGCAAAATGCCATCGCCCTGTCGGCAAGGGTTAATGGGGTTGGGACAAAACCCACTGTAATGTTTTCAGTCTATGTGTTCCATGTATTTTTAACTAATTCTCCATTTGGCTCTGCTGCTGCTATTATCTTTAACATCGTGACCACAATTTCTCTCCCAGATGGAGTGTCCACGGCTGTGAGTGGAATGTTTTCTTTTAGAAAATGCCAATGAAAATAGCTAGAACGGTCACATTTAAATTGTCGATGATGATGGTGGTGATGATGATGATATTGCTACTTGCTACGGATAATGATGACGATGATGGTGTTTGTGATGAGAATGGCCAGTGATGCTGATGGTGTTGCAACTGCTAAGGGTGATGAAGGTGATTTTGTCGCTTTTTGTTATTTTAACGATCACGATTACGGTGATTATGATGATTCTCCTGCTAATGGTTTTGCTGCTGCTGATAATGATCCTACTGATGATGATGATGCTAATTATGACCCTCGTCTGCACAAACATAACACTGCCAAAAAATCAATACCCCTTTTACTGCCGCCATCAGTCATTCACTTACACACACAAAGACAAAGACCCCCCGTATAGCCTTTAACGAGCACCTACGGAGGCCGACTGTGGGCGGCTAGCACCACGTCCGACCACGTTCTTCTCCCCAATGTCGATCTTTTTACGCACTGGACTAAATACTCATTTAAGGCTGAGTCGACCTAGGGGAGGCCCGGGACTGGTTGAGACATTGGTCACTGTTATTGGTCGTGAGCGGGAATCGAATTTGGGTTGCCGGGTTCATAATACCCGCGCGCTGACCAATACATTACCGCATCCCACGCAAAACACACACACACAAATGCGCACGCATACACAAATACACACGTGCACACACAAGCGGGTGAATAAAATAACGGTTGAGATGAGGAAGCCCTTGACATGCACGATGTGGGTTGCCATGGAGACAGAGAGGGCCGGAAGTGGGTAGCGGGGGTGGGGATGGGAAGGGTGCGATGTTGGCAGGGGGGGGGGCAATGGTGATGCGATGGAGTGTGAGGATTAGGGGGAGCAGGGCCGGCGGGGGGGGCAGGCCGGCAGGGGGGGGGCAGGCGGTGGAGGGCGGTGCACATTTTGTCTTTCTCCCCTGTCCTCGGAAAATTCTCATCATCAACCCAGCGACTGGAGTCGGGGTTCGGTTGTGTGGGGTTTTTGGCGTGGGGCAGGGGTGGGGCGGGGAGGGCACAGGAGGGGGGGTCCCTGCACGTTTCCTACGAGCGTCCCCAGCATTGTCGGGGTTCCGTTGTCTAAATTAATTGCAACGATACGTTAATCGTCGGCCACACATGGGCGCCCGTGGGGCCACCGCTCGGGGAGAGGAGGAAGGATGTGCCAGGGATCGTGTCCGGGTGGTGCCAGGCGGGGCCGGCGATGGCTCGGGCCGACAGGGCAGAGCCCTGCGTTGTGTTTACTGCCGCTCGGACAGACAGACACGGGGCGGATGGGAAACGAGGAGTGGTAGGATGCATGCATGGATGTTGAACCTCTTTTGCACCGTACGTGGCCGACCGCGCTAATCGGGAGGTGCGGGGGAAGGACAACAAACACACGGGCGCCACGGTGGTGAGATGTTAACTACCTCGCCTGGTATGCAGGAGGTCGTGGGTTCAATTCACGAATGGCAATTCTTTCGATTTGGTGGAAACTGGTGCGGTCATCCAAGCGTATCGCAAAGTAAGGCCTTCATGAATAAAAGTAAGGCCTTCATGAATAAAAGTAAGGCCTTCGTGAATAAAAGTAAGGCCTTCATGAATAAAAGTAAGGGCTTCATGAATAAAAGTAAGGCCTTCATGAATAAAAGTAAGACCTTCATGAATAAAAGTAAGGCCTTCATGAATATAAGTAAGGCCTTCATGAATAAAAGTAAGGCTTTCATGAATAAAAGTAAGGCTTTCATGAATAAAAGTACGCACTTGATCAAACCGAAGAGAGAAAAAAAAGGCACACGTGCATCTGGGAACAAATGCAAATCTTCCTTCTTTAGGCACACAGGCACACATATACATGTTTATATATGTATCTATTATATATATGTATCTATTATATATATGTATCTATTCCGTGCTATGTGCCGAAAGAACACAGCTTGCCAATGCCATATTGTGCCATTCGTACGTATATATCTTGAACTTCTTTCGCACCGGACAGAGTCAACCATGCAAGTCGGAGGTGTGGGAGGTGTTGCACAGTGCCGTTCCACGTTGTGCCACCATGCCGTGCCACGTCTCACCATGCCAGATCTCACCGTGCCACCGTTCCTCACCGTACCACGTATTACTGTGTCACATCTCACCGTGCCATTTCTCACCGTACCACGCCATGCCATGTCTCGCCGTACGACACATCGCACCGTGCCACACATCTCACCGTGCGACACATCTCACCGTGCCACGTCTCACCGTACCACGCCGTGCCATGTCTTTCTCTGCCACATCTCACCGTATCACGTCTCACTGTGCCACATCTCCCCGTACCCCGTCTCACTGTGCCTCATCTTACCACGCCACGTCTCACTGTGCCACATATCACCGTGCCACTTCTCACCGTGCCACGTCTCACCATGCCACGTCTCACCATGCCCGCACAGCGTACATCAAGGGCGGCTGGATCCTGCGCAAGGCGTGGAAGGTGTACGACCGGTGCTACCGCGAGGTGAGCGAGCTGCACGCCGCCTCGCACCGCCGGCAGCAGCAGCAGCTGGCGCTCACCGACACTACCGCCTCCGACACCAGCAGCAGCAGCACCACAACCGCCGCCGGCACCACCACCACAACCGCCGGCACGGACGGGAACTCGAACCTGCGCCGGACATCAACCGCATCGGAGCGCGGAGCGGCCGAGGCTCGGTAATAATAATCATCTTCATCTTCTCCATGGTGATATCCACGATCACGCGGGGGGGTCCTGATCGCCCTCTCATTCCTGTCCTGGGCCATCTCGAAATCCACTCCACAGTCCTTCACATCCCTGGCTCACCACTTCGAGTTACGGCCTTCGAGGCCTGCCATGTTTGGACCCGTGTGTCACGGCTGGTAACGCACGCAGATTGAACACGATCTTATTAGGGGGTCAGAAGCAATAGACATTGACAAACAGAGTAAGAAGAAAAGCTGAATCGGAATCAGAAAACTTTATTTAGTCTCGGGGAAACCGATGACCTATGAAGCTCTTTTTCACAGATGTCCAGCTAGGGGGTGGGTCAGCATGTCGCGACATCAAACAATACAAAAAAACTATAGGAGTGCAAAATAGAGATAAGGTAAGCAAGTCATTATAAGTAAATATAAAGTATAGACGTCCATATTGCATAAGTACACACATTCCTGCCGATTTGTCAGCACCAAATAAAGATTAAATTTTTTTCTTTTACCAGGAAAGGCCCACCGAGCTTATGTACCTCTTTTTCAGAAGCGACCTGGCTACAGATGATAGCTCAACCAAGTGGCTGATCACTTGGACATTTATAGCAGCCAAAAATACTCTCAACGCACGTCGATTCTAAATGTTGAGAGAGACACCGCAAATATACAGCAGCAGGCGTCAGGGTCGGTGTCGAACCCACGACCCTCCTGCGGATCAGGCGAGCTAGTTAACATCTCGCCACCAAGAGACGAGCTAGTTAACATCTCGCCACCAAGAGACAAAAACGAGGAGGAAAGAAATGAGAGAACAGAGCCAAGTTCGAGGCATGCACCATTGCCCGCAAAGAAAAGTACTCCAGTAGCGGTTAGCGCTACGCTGCGCTACGAAGCCTGGCGCCCCCGAGTTCGATTCCCGGTTACACGGCCAACACCGGTGACGATTATTGGAACTGGTCCTGGTCCTCCCCTAGGCCGACTTAGCCTAAAATGAGTACCTGGTGGCGGTGTGTAAACATCGCCACTGAGGAGACAAAGGTGGCCGGGCGTGGTGCTGGCTACCCCACCCCACCCCCTCATGTGCCGCGCCGGCCTTCATAGGTGTTACTCGCTAACAGCACTTGCTCCTACGATCCGTTAAAGGCTACACGGGGGATCTTTGTCTTTGGTGTGCACGGCGGCGACAGTGGCAGGCTGGAGGCGGAGCTGGGCACGGCGTCGCACGCCACCCTGCAGCGCCTGATGGGCGCCGTGAGCTTCGGCTACGGCCTCTTCCACCTCTGCATCTCCATGGTGCCGCCCAACCTGCTCAAGATCGTCAACCTCCTGGGCTTCCCCGGGGACCGGCAGCAGGGCCTCAGGTCGCTCGCCTACGCAAGCCAAAGCCGAGACATGAAGGCGCCGCTCGCCACGTGAGTTTGCCCGTCGATCCCGCGGGGTGCCAGGGGGATGGTGGTGCGATGGTGGTGGTGGTGGTGGTGATGCTGTGGTGGTGGCAGTGGTGCAATGACGGTGTTGGTGTGAATATAGCGACGGCAGCGGAGATTTGCTGGTGATGGTGGTGGTGATAGCGGTGGTGGTAGTGCAATGATGGTGGTGGTGGTGGTGATGATGGTGTTTTGAGCCTTCACCACCATTCGGCCTCCACCACCTCGGTGGTTCGATGAATTGTCACGATATGAATCGTCCCCTCGTCTTGGATTCTTCGCCTTTGTATACATACGTGTGTGCCAATGCCGGTGTCGGTGCGAATGCCGGTGTCAACGCCCATGCCGGCGGCTAATGCCGGTATCGGTGTCGATTCTTGCCGCTGCCGGCGCGCCGCCGCCGCGCAGGCTGGCGCTGCTGTGGTACCACACGGTGGTGCGCCCGTTCTTCGCGCTGGACGGGGACGACATCCAGGCGGGGCTGTGGGAGGCCGAGGAGATCCTGCGGCAGAAGGAGGCGCTCTACCCAAACTCCTCCCTCTTCCTCTTCTTCAAGGGCCGCGTGCAGCGACTGCGGGTGGGTGGACCGCCACCCCCCACTACCCCACCACCTCCCCCACCTCCAGCACGATTCACCTCCCCTTCCTACCACCCACCACCCCCACGGTCCTGGCCCTCTCCCAGGTCACCTCAGCTGTCCGCGCCACCGCGTCGTGCGTGTGTGTACGTGTCTGTCCGCTGTGTGCGTGTGTGTGCCCGCCTGTGTGTATGCCCTGCTCCACGTCCCCTGCCAGCGGGAGTGCGGCAGTTGGCGCGCTGCGCTACGGACCCAGCGGCCCAAGTTCGATTGCTGCTCAAGGCCAACACCGGTGACGATTATAATCTGAACCGGTCCTGGACCTCCCCTAGGTCGACTCGGCTTCAAATGAGTACCTGCTGGCGATGTGTAAACATCGCCACTGGGGAGACGAAGGCGGCACCGGCGCGGCGCTACCCACCCACCGCCTCGTGTGCCGTGCCGGCCTTCATAGGTGCTCTTTAACAGCACTTGCCCCCAACGGTCTGTTAAGGCTATGCGGGGCTTCTTTGTCTTGGCTGCGTGCCGTGCAGTGCGAAATCAACAGTGCCTTGACGTCCTTCCGGCTGGCGCTGGAGTGCGCCAGCGAGCAGAGGGAGCTGCAGCACGTGTGCCTCTACGAGATCGGTGAGCTGGCCGCACCGCTCCCCCCCCCCTCCCACCACCGCGTCGCTCGCACCGCTTGCTGCCGAGCCACAGAGGAGTCACGGGAAGGCGCCGCAGACGATCGGATTCTCACGCTCGGGCAGCGGTTAATTTTCTCGCCGAACGCTTTGCCGGGTCGCCGGATAGAACCGCGGCAGGCGGGGCCCCCCTCGCGTAGGCCACGGCCTTCGCGAAGAGGTATGCTGGACGTGGCGTGCCGGGCGCGGAAACCGTCTTTCCCGGGTCGCCGACCCAGGCAGGCCCGACCGAGAGGAAGCCCTGCGCTAGACGGCGCAAACTGGAAGGCATTCACGGCCGGTGGCGGCGACTCACAAAACGGGGGTGGGCGCCCGAGAGGAGCGGTGACATCGGCCCCCGTTCGCATCGAGCTCGACGCTCGATGGCATCGCGAGACCGCGAGAGACGGCGACGGATCGAGGGGGCCCCTCGTCCCGTCAGCGGACCGGCCACGGACGACGACGATACTTGAGCGGCGGGAATCGCGAGGAGACGCGCGTTGCCTTCGTGGCGGGTTCCGTCCGTCGGCCGCGGCTATCGCCGGCGGCAAGCGACATTCTCGAGCGGTTCTGGCCGTCGGCTCGGCCTCAAACGAGCGCCCTACCCCTCTGGCGTCACGCGGTAAACATCAGCCCCCGGGGAGACGAGGGCCGCCGCGTGCGTAGCTCCGGTCACGCCGCCCCCTGGGCACTTGCGCCCAGCTGTCTCTGTGGGCTACGCGGTGGCGGGGGAGCGGCGAGGGACCTTGGTGTGCTGCTCGTCGCGGTGTGTGCCGGCAGGGTGGTGCAGCATGCTGCAGCTGGATTTTGGCGATGCGGCCGACTGCTTTGCTCGGCTCAAGACGGAGTCTCGCTGGTCCCAGTGCTACTACGCCTACCTGACAGCAGGTGAGGCGCTGTGCCGAGACGGTGACCCGACCCCCCACCCCCCACCCCCCCTCCCCCAGCCTACCAGTACAGCCTTACAAAAACCGTCCGGCGCTGGGGAGGAAAATTGTTGGTACGTATGTGCGTGTGTAATAATGAACTTCTTTCGCACCGTACGTAGCCAACCGTTCCTATTTCGGAGGTGCGGTGGGGGGGAAGGACAACGAACCAAACACGAAAAAGCGGGCGCCTATCGTGACCCGAACGGCACGCACGCTAGTGGGTGGCATGGCCAGCGTGAGCGAGTATTTTAACCCTCTAGAATTCGGACCCCAGGGTCAGAATCTTGTATATATGATCTCAACCCCCGGGGTGAGAGAATACTCTTACGGCAATGCTACTCACTTCTCCACCAGCCGAGGGCCAGAATCAAGGTTACGGTCACAGTAAGGGATGAGGAACGAATCGGAATCCTTCTTTCTCCTGGAGGAATCCGATGAGCTCAGAAGCTCTTTTTCACAGATAGCCAGTATGTATGTACGTAGAATTTATTTTGCACCGTACTTGCCCAACCGTGTTAATCGGAGGTGCGGGAGCTAACCAGCCGGGGCGGGTTAGCAAGTTACAACAACGATAAATCCTTCATGGGGGTGGGTGTAGGCTGCAGAATTTGAGACCGCACAGCTGAAATTTGTTAAAACGCGCATGGAGGGGGGGAAACGCCGGGAGGCCATGCTGACGTTGTTGACGGCACGTGCTGACGTTGTTGACGGCACGTGCTGACGTTGTTGACGGCACGTGGTGACGATGGTGACGGCACGTGCTGACGTTGGTGAGCGGCACGTGGTGACGTTGGTGACGGCACGTGGTGACGTTAGTAACGGCACGTGCTGACGCGCATCGTGCGGTGGCGCGCGGACCACGTGCGCAGTGTGCCGGGGAGGCACGGGGGCTCTGGAGGAAGCGCAGCTCGTCTTCAAGGAGGTGCAGAAGCTGTTCAAGCGCAAGAACAATCAGATCGAGCAGTTCGCCGTACGCAAGGTAAACATCGCCACTGGGGAGACAAAGGCGGCCGGGCGCGACGCTACCCACCCACCCCCTCGTGTGCCGCGCGGGCCCAAACCCCCACCCCGCCGACGGTAACCATACGTTGGTGACGCCTCCCCGTACCACGTCTCACCGTGCCACGTCTCGCCGTACCATGTCTCACCTTGCCACGTCTCACCGTACCACGTCTCACCTTGCCACGTCTCACCGTACCATGTCTCGCCGTGCCACGTCTCACCGTACCATGTCTCACCTTGCCACGTCTCACCGTACCATGTCTCGCCGTGCCACGTCTCACCGTACCACGTCTCACCGTGCCACGTCTCGCCGTACCACGTCTCACCGTGCCACGTCTCACCTTGCCACGTCTCACCGTGCCACGTCTCACCGTGCCATGTCTCACCGTGCTATTTCCCACCGTGCCACGTCTCACCGTACCACGTCTCACCTTGCCACGACTCACCGTACCACGTCTCACCTTGCCACGTCTCACCGTACCATGTCTCACCTTGCCACGTCTCACCGTGCCATTTCCCACCGTGCCATTTCCCACCGTGCCATTTCCCACCGTGCCATGTCTCACCGTACCACGTCTCGCCGTGCCAGGTTCTCACGCGTCCATATTCCGTGTTCGATAGAACTACCCGCAAGTTACTCGTTCGGGATTTTCCATGACAAATCACCCTCCCTCCTACTGGCTGACCGGTCGGCTCCAGGTCTCTCGATTTCTCGTCAGGTTAAGGAAAACAAACGTTTAACTTGGCCATTGAATTCGTAGATTTTAAATCAATTATTGCGCTCTCTCGATGATCACGAGCATAATTGCGAGCGAAGATTGGGCATTCAATTATATGGTGACTCAGCTGCCGCTGCTGCTATGGTAGTGGTGCACAAACACAAATGGCAATTTTTTTTTACACAAACATCAAATAACACTGCGGCCTTAAAAAGGAGGTTTCACGACATTTGTGTGCGGCCATCCACCAACCCTCGCTGTTGCCTCCACACCGCTGAATTAAACTAAAAACCAAACCATTTTTTATTTTTCGAGGTAAGGCCCACTGAGCCATCTCGCTCTCTTTTCAGAAGCGACCTGGCCACGAACGAAGTGGCTTGTCACGTGGAAATCTATAGCAGCCAAATACTCCAAACGCACGTCGTTGATTCTAAAGGTGGAGGGAAAAAAATCCACGCGACCACGGGGAGAGAGACACGCAAACTCCAAATGTGTCCTTCCCCCCGCACCTCCAATTACCACGGTTGGCTACATACCGTGTGAAAGAAGTTCAACACACGTGCAGCGGTCCGCTTTGGAATCGAACCCACGACCTCCTGCGTACCAGGCGAGGTAGATAACACACCTGCCACTGCGGATTGCAGCCCACGTGCAGCGGCATCGCCGCCGCCGGCCAGCCAGCGGCCGGTCGCCGTCACGTCCGCTGAGCCGCCGTCGGGGACCGTGGCGCTCCGCGGCGGCGGCGGCGGCGGCGGCGGCGCTCCACCGCCCGCGAGCCGCAGCGAGGCGCGCCGACAGCGGCGGCGACCGAGACGGCGCGAAGCGGCCGTGGTGTCGTGCGAGCGGCCAGCCGCGATGGAGCTGACGAGTGGTTTGAGGCCGCCGGTGCTCACCGAAGGGACGGCCGCGTGGGGCGAGCGGAGGGCGGCGGCGAGACCGGCGTCGCTGTGCCCAACCGGAGTTCTACGCGCCCCCCCCCCCCACCACCTCCTCCCCCCACCCCACCCCCCCACCCCCCCACCCCCCCACCCAATCCGCACCCCCAGGCCGACCGCTTCAAGAAGACGCAGCCGACGCAGCAGCTGTGCGTCCTGGCGGCAGTGGAGGTGCTCTACCTGTGGAGGGCCCTGCTCAACTGCTCGCCCACGCACCTGCAGCGCATGCTGACCGGTGCGTGCGTGCGTGTCACGGGAGAGGAGAGGGGAGGGGGGGTCACCGGTCAGGGGTGCGGTGTGAGTGTGGTTGTGGCTGTGGGGTACGTTGTGCGGTTGTGAGTAGAGAGGTGAGAGTGTGGTTGTGGGTGAGTAGAGAGGTGAGTGTGTGGTTGTGGGTGAGTGAGGGGCGTGAGTGTGGTTGTGGGTGAGTAGAGCGCTGAAGTTGTGGTTTTTATTGGTTAACCCGAACTATCGCTGCAAAAGCAAGGACCGCGATAGTTTGAGAGTCCTTACAGGGCAGTGTATCGAGAACGCCGATGTTGAAGATGATTACGATGTGGTCGAGTGCCATTGTGTTCGAAAATATCGTTGTGTTTCGTTTCAGCAGAGCAAAGGAGAGAAGAGAGATCGTAAAATATGATTACTGCGTATTGTGGTCAAATGTGTGGCATTGCCTTGCCGCATGGGCACGTGCTATCGTTGTGTATAGCTTAGATAGCAAGGCGTGCGTGCGTGTGCAGTGTGTGAAAGCGTGGACGACCTGTCGTCAGCCGGCATCAAGTGTCTCCTCATGGGCACCATCAACAAGACACTGGGCAACCGGGAAGAGTCCATCCAGGTAAGGGAAACGAGGGGGGAGGTTGAGATTGGACTGTTCCATTGCCCGTTTGCAGCCTGAGTGGACGTGGCGCCGTGCGGAGTACGCTGGCATTGCGATCACTGCCTCATCCATCTCCATCGTTGCCTCTGCCCGACTGCCACCACCAGGCCCACGATTATCACTACCATTACCAACCCCACCACCTCCATCATCATCACCACCACCACCACCGCCTTCACCACCACCTCCATCACCACCACCACTACCAGCATCATCATAATCACAACCACCACGATCATTACTGCCATCAATGCCACATTTATCACCACTGTCTCCATCACCACCGCCTTCGCCACCGCCTCTACTAACACCGCCTCCACTAACGCCACCGCCCCCTCTGCCCCGTACCGCCGCCGCCCCTGCAGCTCTTCAAGCAGGCGTTCCTAGACGGTTCGAGCCGCCAGCACAACGCCTACGTGCAGCCGTTCGCCTGCTACGAGCTGGGCTGCCTGCTCATCGAGGTGCCCGAGGTGAGGCCCGGGCCAACCCCCCCGCCTCCACCCCCACCCCCACACACACAGACGGTGCTCCAGCCCAATCGGAGCAGCCCATTCCAACACACAGCCCCAAATCAAACCGCACGTGTCCTCTTTGTCAACTACAGTATGCCGTTACGAAGTGTCTGTTAATGTCGCTAGCTAGCCGCTCTCCTCCCTCCTCACCACCACTCACCAACTCCTCCCCTCCCCACCTCTCACCAGACACTCTCCCTCCTCGCCACCACCGCTCACCAACCCCGATGCGTGACATCTCTAAAGCACTCCTCACCGTCGCTTCAGTTTATCTTTACGTGTGCGTGGTTTCACGCATGTGTTGAGCACCTCCGACAACACGGCCCAAGCTACGTGTGTAGATTCTGTCAAAAATAAAACTCACCATTGGTGGCCGGGTGTGCGTGTATGTGTGGCTGTGGTCCCAACTTCTCCTCGTGTGCCGCACCGGCCTTAATAGGTGCTCACTGACATCACCAGTCGGATCATGACATCACCTGGTGCATCGTGGCATCACCTGGAGCATGATGACATCACCTGGCGCATGATGACTGACATCACCTGGCGTATCATGACATTACCTGGCACATCATGACATCACCTGGAACATCATGACTGACATCACCAGTCGCATCATGACATCACCTGGTGCATCGTGACATCACCTGGCCCATCATGACTGACATCACCTGGCGACCGATATAGTTGTGCATATTCTCTGGTTCATTCGGTAAAGTCATGTAGAAAGATAAATAATATAAAAAAGTGAATAAAAATTAAAGAATGAAAATAAAAAATATAATAAAAAACATTAATGTAGACTGTAGCCTGGTTCTTAATCGGAGTGAGTGTACTGGCAGTCTATAGTGTAGACTGTAGCCTGGTTTTTAAGCTGGTGAGCGTATTGGCAGTCTATGATGTAGACTGTAGCAATAGTTCTTAACATGAGTGAGCGTAGTGGCAGTCTATAATGTAGACTTATTCTTGGTTCTTTCAGTAATAAAAGTAAAATTAAAATAAGCATAAAAAATAAAAACAAAAAAGCACGACGTTTCGATCGCAACACAAGCGGTCGTCATCAGGAAAAGGGGGGGGGTTGTGCAATTGGTGGTAAAAAGTATGATGGTGTTTAGTGAATAGAATCGTAGCCTCTGCAGCAGTTCCAAGGACCTATTCCGCATGGATTTGTGTAGACCGCAGGCCGGGAACCGTTGATTTTAAACGGATAAATGAATTCCAAATTGCATCATCCTATTGTGTGAATGCCTTTGTGTAAAAAAAAAAAACGAGTTACGATCCCAACACGATGATCGAGGCCGTGTCCTGCGCGAGGGCGACAGTTTTATCTGGCGGCCATTAGAATGCGATTTGTGTTGTAACTCCCGCACCCTCCCTCTCTCCTCTCGTTTTAGACCACGGGGAGAGGCAAGGCATTGCTCCTTCAAGCCAAGGTATGTGCACTGCCAGCTTTGGGCTAGCGGCAGCAGCCTTCATCAGTATCACCGTCACCATTGTCGTCGTCCGATCATTATCGCCAGTCCTCATCAACACCATCGTCGTCGTCCGATAAATAGTATCGTGATTATAATTGTTCCGTCATCATTATCCATTCATTATTATGATGACTGTCCAATCGATATTCTCATCATGGTTCAGTCCTTGCAGCGGCTTTTGGTTAACCATCGAACAAACATGGTCACTGTGTCACGCACTTTGAGATTCACTTCTGCGGCCGTCTGGAACGCTCTTCCTACCAATATTAGAAAGTCACTGGAGCTATGCACTTTGAAATCTAGATTGAGAACTCATTTCTTTAGCACAGTTTTTTGTGTTTAGTTTGTTGTCCTTCCCCCGCACCTCCGATCAGCACAGTTGGCTACGTACGGTGTGAAAGAAGTTCAACATACATGCTTGTATCATCATCGTCCAATTGTGACCATCATCGCTACACCTCCCTCGCCATGTATCTCTGTGCAACCACGCTACATCTCCCTTGCCGTGTATCTCTGTGCAACCACGCTACATCTCCCTTGCCGTGTATCTCTGTGCAACCACGCTACATCTCCCTCGCCATGTATCTCTGTGCAACCACGCTACACCTCCCTCGCCATGTATCTCTGTGCAACCACGCTACACCTCCCTCGCCATGTATCTCTGTGCAACCACGCTACATCTCCCTTGCCATGTATCTCTGTGCAACCACGCTACACCTCCCTCGCCATGTATCTCTGTGCAACCACGCTACATCTCCCTTGCCGTGTATCTCTGTGCAACCACGCTACATCTCCCTCGCCATGTATCTCTGTGCAACCACGCTACATCTCCCTTGCCATGTATCTCTGTGCAACCACGCTACACCTCCCTTGCCGTGTATCTCTGTGCAACCAAGCTACATCTCCCTTGCCGTGTATCTCTGTGCAACCACGCTACATCTCCCTCGCCATGTATCTCTGTGCAACCACGCTACACCTCCCTCGCCATGTATCTCTGTGCAACCACGCTACATCTCCCTTGCCGTGTATCTCCCAACCGCTGTCTCCTCCGTTCCCATGCAGGACGGCTTCACGGAGTACGACTTTGAGAATCGCCTGCAGGTGCGAATCCACGCTGCTCTCGCTCCGCTCAAGGACGTCATCCCCCAATAGCGATCGCCCCCCACCTTCCCACGTGCCGCCCCTTTTACACCACTCCGCCGACCGCTACCGCCCTCCTCCTACCCCCACCCCCCACCGCGGCCCCCAACCTCTGATCTCCTGACCTATTCTGGTCTTCACCGGGGTCGCGAGACGCCCACACCTCCCCAAGGGAACCCCAGAGTGGATGGGACGCCATTCGTCCCAAATCCTCCTCCGCCTCCCACCGACAGCTGCGCCCACCGCCAGCGCCCACCCCGAAGCGACGAAGCGGCTTTGCACTTCCTCCCTCCTGCCCCCCCCCCCCCCCCCGGAGCGACGGATGGGAGGGCAAGGTGGAACAGGGTCGAGAGTTGAGATGGCGGACTGTGAAGGACGAAGAAAACCGGGTTTCCCCCAAACTGGAGTCGCACATCGCGGCGCCGCCTTTCCACGCTTTTTTGCTCCGCCCTCTTCGTTGTAATACAAATGGAGTAGTTGACACGCTGCACGAGCCCGATGATTGCCACATGCGTCGCACGTGTCGTAGAGAGCTCTGGGATTCGTATTGAGACGGAGCGTGTGCGTGTGTGTGTGTGTGTCTACGTGTGTAACGATCAGCGCGCTGCCCCTCGGACCCGACGACCTGAGTTCGATATGCGCTCACGGCCAACACCAGTGACGACTGTCTGAATCGGTTCTGGGCCTTTACACTCCGCAGCAGGTACTCATTTGAGTACCTGCTGCGGAGTGTAAACATCGACCACTTGGGGAGACAAGCGGTCGTGTGTGCGTGTGTGCGCGTGTGTGTGCGCGTGCGTGCGTGTGTGTGCGTGTTCATCAGCAAAACATGAGACCAATTTCCTGTTGTACAGTCGTTGTGCAACGCAGGGCCCCCCATCGCACATTGACGCGTGCTAAATTGTACCCCCCCCCCCCCCCCATCATACGTCACATGCTTAATTTACATCAACCCAGTGCCGGATTATCCCAGTAGCACAAGTAGCTACATAGTAGTAGTAGCTACTACTACATATGTAGCTACACATAGCATAACTATGTAGCTACTACTACTTGTGTAGCTATATATGTAGTAGTAGCTACTACTACATATGTAGCTACACATAGCATAATTATGTAGCTACTACTACTTGTGTAGCTACATATGTAGTAGTAGCAGCTACATATGTAGTAGTAGCAGCTACATATGTAGTAGTAGCTACTACATATGTAGTAGCTACTACTACATATGCAGCTACACAAGTAAATACTTTCAAGCTATCAATTCCGGTTCAGTGATTCTGCCCTTGCTCTATTACTATAGTACTATACTGCATTCAACTTTTATGAACGACTGGGTGTTTAAGGTTAGCGATTTGTGGTATTATCTGGCTGTGTAGCAAATGAAAACATACAATTATTTATTATGCACGATCAATATTTATGTGTTTTAATATGTGATTTATTTATTTAGGGCCCCTTTATAACATATGCTACAGGCCCCGCACTAGCTTAATCCGGCACTGCGTCAACCCCGCTTTACCCATCATCGGGTGCGTGCAGCGTTAAGTTCCACCTTTTAAATTCGTGTTTTAAACGCAAAAGGGGTACAGGGGCTGGCACTGCGTGTGCGGATTGGTGCTTGGAAAAAAACCACGCGACCGATGACGTGACAGATTGGCAGGGGGTGGGGGTGCCGATGTCTTTGTGTGTGTCTCTGTTTTTTACATCGTAGTTTAGTGGTAGTTCATTGAAGGTGGAGGGGTTACCAGCCCCTCGCACTCATCCAGAGCCCCCATTTGGACACTGTGGTGGTTACCAACGCCATGAAGGGAAAGGCCAATTCTAAATTGGCCCTCCCCCCATGGCACTGCCCACCACAGCGTTGCCGTCCGGCACCACGAGGAGACCTCCTGCCAGCGTGTGTCTGAGTGTCTGTGTGTATGTCTGTGTGTGTCTATGTGTGTGTCTGAGTGTGTGTGTGTGGTTGTGTGTGGTTGTGTGTGTCTGTGTGTGTGTCTGTTTGTGTGTCTGAGTGTGTGTGTCTGAGTGTGTATGTGGTTGTGTGTGTCTGTGTGTGTGTATGTTTGTGTGTGTGTGTGTGTCTGTGTGTGGTTGTGTGTGTCTGTGTGTGTGTCTATGTGTGTGGTTGTGTGTGTCTGTGTGTGTGTCTATGTGTGTGGTTGTGTGTGTCTGTGTGTGTGTCTATGTGTGTGGTTGTGTGTGTGTCTGTGTGTGTGTGTGTCTGTGTGTGTGTCTGTGTGTGTGTCTGTGTGTCTGTTTGTGTGTGTGCTCGGATGCCGCCGCCGTCATCGATTCCTGGAGTCGTTTCTATCCCCCAACTCCACTACCCCCCCTTCCCCGTCGAGTGCGCTTGTGAATGGGCCGAGCCCCCCCCCCCCCCCCCAATCACTTTTACTGAATTCTAAAAAAGGGGTCGATTGAACGATTCCGTTCGGTTTTGTGTAGATTCCATGAATCGTCCCAGGTTTGTCCCTCGACATTATTATCATTCACCTGCTGCTGCTGCTGCGTGAACACCCCGTCATTAAGTTATGTATGCATCGTCAAAGTGTTCTTAACCCTGTTGTGTTGTTTTATCGATAACCAAGAATTGTTCGCAAATTGAACGGTCCACGTGACTCTCACGCCATTGCTCAGACTTCACGAGGTCGGGGGGGGGGGCGGTTAGATCGCGTAAATATAAATGTGTCGTTAAACCCGCCACCACCCGACACAGCTAACGAGTAAGGTTTAGTCACGTGAACAAAACATGGCAGTTGGTTACGAGTCCAGCACGCCGGTTTGTTGGAGAGTAAATCGACTTCCGTGACAAACCTTACTTATTAAGCTGTCGGGTGGTGCCGGGTGTAACGACACATTTATATTTACGTGATGTGACCCAAAAAAAACTCTTATGGATGATATTGGTCGCGAAAGCCTGCTACATGTTAAACTAATTTCATAATCATTCGCGATTCATTTGCGATGTGAATTCCCCCCCACCTCTCCCCCCCCCCCCCCCCCCATGTGAAACGATTCCAGTAACCGATTCCACAAAATTGTCATCATCATCATCATCATCGTCTCTCGCGAGTGTGTGCGCCTGTAAGCATTATCCGGCCTGAATATAAGGCGAGATATTAACTCCCTCGCCTCGTATGCAGGAAACCATGGGTTCGATCCCGACCCTGACTGCCTGCTGTATATTTGGAGTTTGTGGTGTCTCTCTCCCCGTGGTCGCGTGGATTTTTTCACCGGGTCATCCGGTTTTTCACTCCACATTTAGAATCATCATCACGCGTTCAGAGTACTTTGCCGCTATACCATTTTCACGTGACGATAGGCGACTTAGTTGAGCTGTCATTTGTGGCCAGGTCGCTTGCTGAGAGAAGAGCTGTAGAGCTCAGTGGGCCTTAAGAAAGAGAACACAGTCGTGGCCGGTGGGGATTCATTTATCGCTGAATATCTTTCCAGCCTCGCCGGAAGACGTGAGTAGAGCTGGCACGTGACTTAACGGCCACAGCGGCGCAGCGGGAGGGATGGCTACTTGACGTGGTGTGCCGGGTGCCGAGCTATTTCGTGGGTCGCCGATCCGGACCAGCCCGGCTAAAACTTAAGGCCATTTGGTTGTAGCCAATCAGGCAGTCCCAACCCCCATCAATGTTCCCCTGTGTATCAGGAGGTGGTGGGGGAATTTACAGCCCACTTCATTTCACACGGCCCACAGCCGTGTGTGGCTTAACACGTAAATAAATAAATAAATATCCGTCCGTCGCTGCGACCATCCGAACTGCGCTAGTTTCGGATACTTTTTGATTTGGAATCACAATGTTCCTTGCACCTTGTGTCGCGCTTAGTCGCGCCCATCGTCCTGCAAAGTCGTCGTGAGTGCACAGGCGATACGCGTGTCGCAGTCCCAAGCGTGTCTTGTTGCCCGCCAAAGGTTTCTTTTTTTTTTAACAAACAAAAGCAATCCGATTGACTCCTCGGTAAAGAGAAACGGATTCCCCCCGCCCCTGGTCATACAACATGGATGTTTGTTCCATCCACTTAGGGGCCATCCATTGAGTAGGTACGCAAAAGTCTGTCAAAACTTGACCCCTCCCCCCACCTGCGTACGTACGTCTGACGCACCCCCCCCCCCCCCCCCACGAATCCTATAGAACGGCCGATATTTAATCCACGCAGAAGCGATAAAGGATTAATCATAATAACGTGTTTAAGCAAACAGATAGTCCACCGCCGGACTATCTAACTCATTTGAAGACCAATGTAGACAAATTATTATCGAGGCTTCACACCCCCCCCCCCCCACCCTCCGTTTCCTATGCTTACGTACATTGTCAGTAGACCCCCGCATACGTAAGCGTACTCATTTGGGTTAACCCCCCCCCCTCCCCCCTCCATGCGTACGTGCTCAATGGATGGCCCCGTGACGGCCTTGTTACCGCACGGCTGCGAGCGAACACGCCAATTCGGAGTGGCGGCCAGCGGCGTTTCCCAGTTGGCGGGGGTTGTTGACTTGTCGGCGGTCCGGCCGTCTACGCCGCTGCCGCCGCCGGCAAACTCCTTCGCGTGCCGTTCGCTCTCTCACCCTGAGCCAATTGGCATCGGAACCCGCGGGCTGTCTGCTGCTGTTCCCCCCCCCACCACCATCATCCCTCCTTGCTGCGCGCTGCAAATGCAGGGGGAGGTGGCCCTCGTTGGTAAATGAAACCGGTTTAGCCCAGCGTTTGATAAACTCCCAATTTAAATGAAGTCTTTACATGCCGCATGCACCCGATGTTTGGTAAAGAGGAGTCGGTGCCCCTAAACCCGCTGCCGTAGCACCACGCCACGGTGGCCGGAGCACTTGACTCGCAGTTTAATGAGTTCAAATCCTGGATGGAGGTCACCTCTGCATATCATCCCTCTGGGGTCAACGCTGGTTGTGCTATGGGTAGACTTGTCCTTGCCTTAGGAATTTGGAATTTCCACTGCTGGCTCAGGGCCTGGTATTTGGCAGACACTTCGTTGTGATATGGTTGCCTTGGGGTGCATGAAAGTGAGAAATATATATATTTTTGAGAGCTCTGTTTCATCACGGATGGCCGAAACCCAGATTCAGAACGCAGGATCTCAGCGGTGCCGGCTCCAGTGCTTGTGACCTCTGAGGTCAACCGGCCACCTTTGACCTCCTCTCTCACGTCCTCAATACGAGTGCCGACTGCAGGGTACAAATACAGCACAAAACGCGTGAGAGTTGGAGCTAACGTCTTGTCCTGTCGCTGGCTGGAAACGCACTCCTTGGCTGCCCGATGTTTCCTAGACCGAAAGTTGTAATCTTAAGGCGGTGTGTGATGTATACACATACACAAGTATATGTATACGTGGGTATTTACACGTGTACAAGATTCCAGACTCGAGTCCGGATTAATATTTGGACGTGCACTCGTAGGATGTGAATCGTAAATAGTTGTGAAACATCTCTCGTGACATTGTACAGCAGCAGCTCGATGTTGGGAGTTTTGTGCTCTTTGTATTATACAGATGGCCGTTGGTTGAGCGGCATAACTCGCGTTAACGAAGGTACCGAACTCAATTCCTGCCCAGGGTCTACTCATCTCCACCATTGTCATCATTATCAACATCATCATGAACACAATTATCCAATAATTATCATCATCCGATGTTGGTCACCGTCATCTACTTTGCATTTAAATCTCAAATTGTTGCGCTTCATATTTGAAAC